TGTGTGTGTGTGTGTGTGTGTGTGGGTTGGCTGATACTTTGAGAGAGAATTGTGTGTGACTGCAGGGACGCTTGATGATATCCTCGATGTCAGCGACAGCGAATGGGGAGCCGCTCCAAAGGACCGAGATTCAACTGCTGCACCGAACAGCGGAAAGGCTGCAAAGGGAGGTAAACAAGGAGTTAAGCAGAAGGATGAGGGTGATGGCGAATCAGAGATGGACAAATTTAATGGCGGGGAAAGTGAGGATGAGTTCAGTCCCACCCCGAAGAAGGCGAAAGGGGGTAGTGGAAGCGGTGGGAAGGGTGCAGGAAAGGGTGGTGGGGGCGGCGCCAAACGGCCGAAGTCGGAGAAGGAAACTGCGCGTCGAGCTCCAGCAGGAGCTGGACGCGGCAGAGGTGCACGGGCAGGGGCAGGAAGAGGCTCCAGAGCAAAGGCCAAGCCTAAAGGCGCCGGTAAGCCCCGCGGGAAGGGTAGAGGTGCAGGGGCAAAAGAGGGAAAGCAGAGAGCAAAGGAAACTTTCAAAGGCATGGAAGAAGATGACTAGGTGAGGGAAGCAAGCTCTTTATGCTGCCAAAATAGTATCAGCATCCGACCCATAATCGGGGATAAATACATTTCTTCTTTGGTGTGCTAGTGTCGTCCGACGGCGGAGATTTATTGAGGGAAAGGGGTGTATTATGTCGATAGTGCTGCAGCTTAGATTAGGTTTGACTGCAGGGATCCGCTTTTTTTTCTTCTTTTTTTTTGCACAGATCTTTTCTATCTTGATTCTTGTATGGTATAGTTTTATGGGTCACCCTTGGTTTTGCAAGGGGGTCACAACAAGGCCACGGTAAGCGATCGGTGAGGCCCTCAAAGGCCCTAGCAACCCCCTCTGGCAATATACCCAACCCTGAGGAGTGGGAGGTCACCACTCTGGTGTGGCTGCACCAATCATGCTTTAAATTTCCTCAATCGCAAGTTAATGTTTTTTTTTTTTTTTTAGTTGGTGTGGCCGATCTTGCCGGTCATCAGTCGTTTTGATATTGCGTTCGCGAGAAAGGAGGGCCAAGAGGGAGTCGTTTGTTTTTTTTTGCCCCCCTACGATGGCTCCGCGGAAATCAGGGTCCTCGAGGAATTTTGTCGACTCATTGTTCTCATTGAATGACATTATTTTTTTATTCTGAAATTTATGAAAATTGTGTGTCCTGCGGATTGTTCGGAGTGTTCCGTGTATCGGCTTATATATTGATTCAATAATATGGGCCTCGCTGCACTGCTCTCCGAATGCGCAAAAGACAAAACAGATGTCAATGTATTATTGCATGTTTTAGCAGAAAATTCAGTCTCGTTTTGCGTATTCGGAGAGTAGTGCAGCGAGGTTCTGCAATGATGTTTCTTTTCTCGTGCATGTGTGTAATGTGCGCTGTCATCTTCCAATCTTTCGTATTCATAATTCCTGTGGACATGCAATAATACAAAATCTGAATTGGGCAATTTGCATGAGGTTGCTAAGAACTGGTGTGGCAAATCACAAATACAAAATCAGATCTTAATATGTGACAATATATCTTCAACAAACCCCTAAAGCTAAGTGGGCTGCGGACGGAACGCTGCGTGCTGATAATTCTTCTTTTCATGGACTTCCGGCCTTTAAATTTTGAAACTAAGCGCCGCGATTGCCCGAGAAAGAGTTTTCGAGGCAAATGTGTCCGGGCCTAGGTGATGGACACGTGGTTCTCTGCGGGATTAGTATTTGGCGTGCAAAGAGAGTGTTGCGCCCGTTGATAGTGCGTTGTCGAATGGCGAGTCCTTAAGTTGCGGCGAGTGGTGTCCTGGATAGTGTGAGAGGATCAGGGTATGTGCCAGAAAACTGAAACCGAGAACGAGGAAAAAATGAAAAAAAAAGCTTTCGGTGGGCGCCGAGAACGAGGAAAAAAGGAAAAAAAAAGCTTTCGGTGGGCGCCACGACGCTGTGTGCCGATAGAACTGAATTTTGTGGTAAGTGCACGTTAAAAAAAAAAAAAAAAAAAAAAAAAAAGGAGGTTGAAAATCGGCGTGAATTTTGTGGTAAGTGAACGTTAGGATGTTGAAAATCGGCAGCGCTTGCTTTGGGTTGTTTCGTTGGGCAGAGTGCATTGACAGTGGGGTTTAGAAATATAAATTCTTTTGTCTGTTTTTCTTTTCGGGAAGGACATTACGTTTTTATATTTTTTTATTTTTCTTTTTTTCTTTTTTCTTTACAAAACAGAAAACTTTTATTAATACCAAAAGGAGGCCGGGGAACCCTTTACAAACAACCTGCCCCTTTACAAACAACCTGAAGAGGAATAATTGTGGGACCATTAGCCAGCTTCGGTGCAGGCACCCAGTATTATGTAGGGTTCTGGTTCGCCCGTGGGGTCGCGGGGCTACGGTTGCAAATTGAAAATTCGTCTAAGTGGAACTTGGCACCCGGCAATGTTTTTTTGTCAAGTGGGTTTGCCATGCGCGGACGGGGTTTGGGTACTGTGGATTGGTGGGTGGACGGGTGGGCAATGTGGGACTTGGGGCGCCCAGTGGGTGGGGAGTGGGTTATCCTCCCTCGATGTCGGCAGGTCGCAAGGACTGTCTGTGGCGGTTAGATGTCGTAGGAGTATGTACCGAAGGTCTTCCGGTGGGCAATTGTCGGTCCTAGGGTTTCGTAGTACGGCTCCATATGTGCTGTTGGTCATAGGGTTTCGTAGTACTGCTCCACATGTGCTGTTGGTCATAGGGTTCCGAAGGTCAATGACGTGCAGCGTGGTGAAAGTTTCGTTGACGGAGGTAGTGGTTATTGCGGTGGAGATATGTTGGAGGATGAGGGAGACTTCATGGCGCCAATGCTCTTCTGTGTGATTGGTGGATTCGGGATGGTGGCAGTAGGTGACGAAATGGTAGTGTGTGCGTGTTGTGAAGGTGGGGAACCGAGCATTCAACGTTTGCTCATGTTCCATGGAGAGAGAGAGAGAGATGTTGTGTGTTGTGGTTTGCCTTTGTGTTTGGTTGCAATTTCTTTGTTATCTGGTCGAGTGCTCGGATATTGACCTTCATTTTATTTGCCCCCAGATCTTTTCCAAGTAAAGTACACCTGTGGCCTTTGTTTATCCTGCCGAAATCAGCCACTGCCCTTCGTTTATGGACGGCTATTAGTCCGAAATCTGATTCAACGGGGGTTTGGAGTTGAACGGTTCAACTCCCGTTGAACCTCCGTTTCAACTCCGCATKATACCCCGTTACAACGTGGTACAACTCGGCCCGCGGAATTTGTTTTTGCCGCCAAAAAATAACTAAAAAAAAGAAACAAAAAATATTGGGGTGTAGATTTTTTCCCTCTCTACATCCCTATATTGTTATTTGTATCTTTTAGCATTTAAATTATTTTTAAAAAATAAAAAACAAAACCAGACTCAAAACATGTTTTTTTTTTTTTTTTTT